AGGCAGTGTGACACATTTCTCTGTTAGAAATATGCCATGTATGTAATTTAATGCTGGACACTGAACCTTTCCATTATCAAGACGCAGAAAGGACTGTCTTTAAATTCCATTCTTCCTTAACTACTCAAGCACATGAGCCAAGGTGACTGGGTACATACAGGATTCCTTATCTACTGGCTCAGTAATTTTTGTGCAGAACGATGCTTTAGGGAAGGTTTCCATTCAGCTTGTTTTGAACTATACTACAGTCTTGATCCTTGCTTTACTGCTGTTTTAGGCTTTGGATGTGTATTTGCATAAAACTTTACATATCTGCTTTTATACCACTAGCTGTCTCTGGCATAAATAACCTCTGTGTTTAGCCCGTATGTATTTGCTTGGCACTGTTATTCAGCACCATGTTTTGAAAGCTTTCCTGCAAGAGGATAAACTGTGAACAGAAATGGAACAAAAAAAAGTAAAAAATTATGATTTTAGAAAGTGCTCACTTTCAAATGGCCATATTCATTATTTACTTTGTTGTCTGATCAATATTGCATATTGCTCAAGCATACTTTCATATTTAAACTACTTTCTTAAATCATAACATTCTGGAGTCGGCGAGGCTACTGCTAAATACGTATGCACTGATCAACATAGTTGGAATAAGCAGAAGTGGCTAGCAAATACACAAGAAATAATAACAGCTGACCAAGAACATGCTGTGATGGCAATGACATATTCAGCATAACATCAAAAAACTTCCAATAAAGCCCTTTCTCTGAGTTAAATTAAATGAACAAGTATTAATGCATTGCTTATGAAGAAATATGTACATAAGGAACTTAAACAGCCTTACTGATTCACAGGATATAGATGTGACATCAAAATCTATATAAAACCAGTATATGGCAGGCATCTCTTAACACTGGTATAAATAGATGACATGAGACATCAAATTGAATCTGCACTTCTGATTATGCAAACATTTTAGCTCATTTTTTTGTATTAAAACTGATCATACACAGATTGTTAGCTTTAAAAATATTTACTTGGCTGTATTAAGGTACACATTATTTAAATATAGTCATCCAATTATATTAATTAGAAATAAATGAAATAGGTCATCTTCAGTGCACAGTACACAGATGTAGCTAGCGTGAGCAGTGAGTATCTTGCCCCTAACATAAACAACAGACAAGTAGAGTGAATTGAAAGGAAGAAAACATTCATAATCTACGTAACAAATGTGCTGGCATTATTTACGAGCTTATAAAATAATTCAACATTGCTCTAAAAAAAAGAACATGCAAAGATACTAGCTACAACATCTCTTAGCCAGAAGCAGTTCAACGTTTCAGCACTTGGTCTACCACAATTCTGACTACGATACAGAACTGGTACGGTGTGCCTCACCTGGACCTGTCTCAAACACATCCTCTGAACTCCTAAAACCAGACAGGCCCTCAGCACCAACCCGGACTTTATATGCTGTTCCTGGTGTTAAACCCTTTAACACAAAGAAGCTTCGAGAACCATTTACAATTTCTTTTTTCCAATCTTCTTTGCCTACAAAAATTTTAGGAAAACAACATATTGGAATTTTAAATTACTCTGTATTACTGAAAGTTTCTAGACAGAAAACTATCAACAGTTACTTGACTAAACTATGGATTGACTGAAAAAAATAACTATTCTCTCAAAAAATAATAAAATCATACAAAATTATGACTTCAAATAACATATTGCATGCAATATATTGAAGAAGACATTGTACATGAATTATGAAACTATTTTAAACATTTGTTCCATTGTACTAGAGAAATATTATTTTCATTTATTTTTTAAAAGGCTTATTGAACTTGCAATTATAAAACACATTAAAAGAGATTTTAATCATTTAATTAAATTATACTTCTGTAGTCTCAGTCAATATTTACTTTAGCTGAGAAGTTCTACTTCGAAATCTGAACCTATCATATTTCCTGATCATTCTCTTACATCTTTTTCTAGTACAGTCTCAGATGTTTCTTTGACCAATATCCAGAAAAATACATTTATATTCCAATTTTCAGATTGGTCATATTCACTCATAACTTTAGAAGTACAGAGTATTTGAATAAAAATATCTTGGTATTATTAGCTAACTGTGTTTTATTACTTGTATTATCAAAGATTAAAACCTTTTTTATGCCAATAGTACATAAGTTGGTTGATACTTTATTTTAAGATTTATTTTAACAAAGAATATTCTTTTGATTGGGTCTCATTTCTTTTTTTTTTTTTTCCCCCAAATTGGGCATTATTTAGGATAACTGTTATATCCTATTTTAATGCAAGTAATCATATTTTTACACATGTAAACATTGCATGATAAACAACTTCATGCAAACTACATTTTTAGATGTTCACCTTCAAAAGAATTTATAAAATAACACAAAGGAACAAAGGCCGATATTCTATCTAAGCATCAAATACCTGCTAAACATTGATGTTTATTAAAAAGAAAATTATTTGATCTTCCTGATCAAATTAAAAAATAACTCTAGACATTTAAAAGCTATTATTAACACTGGGTCAATTTAGGACCACATTTACTATAAAAAGCTTTGAAAATATAACTGAACACTTTAGCAAAATTTAATGAAATGACTTCTTACTGCCTGCTACACCATATTCAACATAAAAGTTCGCATGATCTGGTCCCTCATACTCCCAACTGATATTGGCATAGGTCTCAGCAGCAGCTGTTGTAACATTTCTGATCCTTGGATAAAGTGGTTGCACTGAATACACAATAGAAAAACAAAGCAGAATATGAAATTGTGATTTCATAGATTAAAAAAAAAAAAAGATTTTAAGAAGTTACTATGTTAATTTAGACCATATACAGGGAAAGTATAGTACATTTGTCATTGTTTCCATTACTGGAAATTAGTGACTAAAGTAGTGTATTTGGTAATTGAATGCTAGGCAGTTACTACACTATGAAATTATAAAGTAAAATCTATATACTGAGCATGCCCTGTATCACAAAAACTGCCAAATACTTAAAAATACCTAATTGCCAAAATTCTGGAAAACATTTCTATTCATCTAGAATTAAAATGCAGACAGCTGGAAAGTGAGAACATTGTCAAGGTAATGGGACATGGTAGGAGGGAACGGAGTTACAAAGGTGGTACACACCTCCCCTTATGCCGCGTGTCACTGAATGCACTGCAAATGCCTCAACTGCAAACCCTTATAGGATTTTGTCTCTACTGCACTGATAATGATAAAAAAGGAAGACAATACCCTTATAGAATGTTGGACGGACAGTGTGCATGACTGGGGAGGTTGCAAAAAGGGTTTCTGAATATCCTTCACCATCAGAGATAGTAGGGAAGAAAAAATAAAGAGTAAAAACACTTTGCATCAAAAAGTAACATTGAAATAATACAGTAAAACCTTACCTGTTAAACGAGTAACACATGCACACTCTACATTCATGCAGGATTCTATTAGTTTTACTTGTTAAAATATGAAACAGCTAAGTGATACACATGTATTTGAAAACAAACTGAAGTATGTGTGTACTGACACCTTTACTTTCACAGAACGTTTCTGAAATCAGCTTCATTAACATTACAGATTCACGGCACCTTTAGACATTGGAACATCAGACGTCAGATACTGGAAAGCCAATATCAAAATACTGTGGTGTGAAGGACATAAATCACTGAAATGCAAGAAGCTGTTCATTTTGAGGTACTGTGTCTTACTGCTGACAGTCTCATTAGACAACAGTACTTTTCACACATACGCATAATGCCCACATCTATGAAAAGAAGTGCTTCTCTTTTCAGCATCCTGTCATTAGCCACTTCTTTGCTCATACCTTCGTTCTCCAATCGTACTTGTTACAAATGGACATATATTTCAGCATTTTTGTTTGCCTAATATTAATTAAAAATAGATTTCAATAGTTATAGTAGTGTAATAGTGCAGATACAAAGAGTATGCTCCTCAAAGGCACGAAATTAGTTTTTAATGAAAATGCCTCACTCTGTTTTCCACTGACTTTTCTATTCCGCTAAAAATATCTTTTCTGTTAGAAACGACATCAAAAATACTCCCCAAAGGACCATGGAACATCAGAGGTAAAAGCCTAGTCTCAGTAGAGGGAAATGGCAGAATTCCAGTGGCTTCACCTACACCAGAAAATAAAATGGGCAAAAGCCTGTTCTCAAAGCAAGAGGTGATGCACAGATTTTATCTGTGTACTTAAATTATTTTCTCCTCAAAATAGGCTTGCCTTGTCCATATGGCTGACTAAAAGAAGTTCCAAATTAGATTCAAAGAGAAAAATGGCTTACTTTGGAATAGTAAAATAAATCTGTATACAAGCCCCTAGCGCAGACTAAATAATATGACTGCCATGTCTAGAAAACTATAGTTTCTGAGTTTTTTTTTTTAAAATACCTAAATTATGCAAATTCCATCAATTATCCTGAAAATGTATTCTCACGTTTACAAATTTTCACAATATCAGACTTTTTATCCCCATATTTCCATCAAACTTTTCTTCTTAACTCTGTTCCAGTGGTACTCATTCAACTCTTCAATCTGCATTAAACTAATTACTCCCCCATTCCATGTCTTTGTAGGTAAGTTGTGCTTATATATTTTATATATAATTTCTTTTACCAACCAAAAATAATAAGGAATATATTATTTAAATATTAAGGAATATATTTATTTCTTGGCTAAAACCACCTGAAGAAAATCAAATAGAAGACACTAGATGTAAAAAAACCCCAAGCCATCTAGGTTACTAAGTCAACAACAAAACCCCTAAGAAATACCAAAGCCAGAGCTGTCTCTGGGAAATCTAGTATGTTACCAGATACACTATGGGATGCAAGGGGATTAGATTCTGCTTCTCTGTGCCACTTGAAGGTAGCAAGAGGAAAGAATAGCAGGCTCTAAATTTAGAAGGGTGCAGAGCCTGAGATTGCAGACAGGATATATAAACTTCCTTTCTCCTTTGCACATAGGAACAGGTGTTTGTTACAATCAGCAGCTAAGCATTTGTTCTGTGCCAAGAAAACAACTGGTTTGTATTCTAAATATTGTTTTGTTTCATTAAATTGTATTTTCTCAAACCTGTATTTTCCTGGATTTTGTTCTTCCACATGAGATTTCTAATTAGCAGCACAACTGTATGACTGATACTCGTCATCAATGTTAAAGGCAGAAGAAACTATTAGCAATAATCTGTTTCAAACTCTTGCAAACAGCTGCCAAAGAATTACACCTAACTTCTCCCTTCTCATGCCTGAGCACTTGGGGATGAAGGAAACTGTCTCATCTTGTGTGAAAGACTCCAGATGACAGACAGCTTCTGTAACACTAAGCAAATTCAATAATCACCTTCCCTGTAAAACCTCCATCTCGTCTTTTGGGGTTTTTTTTCCATCTCAATTTCCAGTTTCTGCTCCGCTTAAAACCTGCCTGCTAGATTAAAGCCTGGTAGCTGGTAAATGTCTTTCTGTTCATATGATTGTATGTAACAATTAAGTTGGCTCTGAAAATTACCTTAATTTCCTTAGTGCCTTAGTTTCTAAATCCTCTCAAGTGACTGATTGATGCTTACATTTATCAGAGGTACTCTAATCTGATTCTTACCAATAGCTAGCTGTATAGATTTATCCATGTGTAGTATTTGGTCAGATTTAAGTTCTGTTTTTTTCCTACTGAATACAATGCACCAAGAATTTTTTTCAGTAGCACATTTATTTTCAAAATCACTATTTTTGTAATTCTTCCTCTTTTTCACTACTGCTTCATCTAATTTTCCAGCAGTCCTGGAAAGTTTTAGTTAAGTCTATTCAATGTCTCATATTTGCAACATGAATACACGCATAAGAAGATAAAATATGGCTGATGGATCCTGAGGTGATGAAAGCCTAGAGTCGACGTGGTTACAACATTTAAAGCTTGTCTCCAATCTACCCAGACTCCTGTCTTCTCAATCAGCGCACCTCTAATTATAATTAACCTCTTAGTTCTTCAATATGTTTCCCAGCACTGTTCACAAAAGCAAAATGTGTAATTGTCAGTTGGCAGAAAATCTCAGCGTGTGCAAGCGCCAGTTGGTAAAAAGGGGGGTCAGAAAGCTTTGTCTGGGGGAGCAGGAGTTTTCAGTAGTGGAGCGCTCTGCTCTTTTGATCTGTAACCATGCACGACACTGTGCAGCAGCGCTGACAAAAGTGTCACTCTAAAACTGATGGGAATGGATTGTTAATAACTTACAGTTTTTATACAGACCGACTCTTACTCAGCTACCTCCAGTAAATTAAGGTCTTTTATTCGTGCTACGATACAATGCAAAATTTAGCTGGCACTTCTGAGTATGGTTTCATTCCTGTAGTGAGATACGGTATAAAAGCAGTTGCCAATTGCTGAGAAAGGCCTAGGCTCAAAGTAAAAATTTCCTTTCTTTTCAAACGAATTCCAGTGCTTTTTTAGTGGAGTTTTTTATAGAGTTGTATTTAATCTTCCAGCCTTTCAGGAACACAGTTCCTCCAGATAACACAGTTACACTTGGGCCGCAGATTCAACAGAATTTAATGAGACATGACATGAGGTATGAATGGATTTTAACAACACAATAGGTACGCTCTCTCAAGATTTAGTTCAGCAGAACAATAAATTAAATAATCCCCAAAGTGACTAAACTTTAGGAATTTTCACAGGATTCACCTGATCTCCAGGAAGAAATGGCAGGTAAGTGACAAGCACACATTTGAAGATTGGTGTCAAATGGAAAAAAAAAAACCAAACCCGCAAAGCAATATATCATAGACAATTAGGTAAAATGCGTATATAAAAAGAAAAATAAATTCAAAGGAAAAAAAACCCCACACCTCACACAAGAAAAGATGAAGGAAAAAGGCAACAGATTCTGCCAGAGCCTGTAAGACCCAGAGAAGGGGTTTGCTTTTGTTTGCTTTTTAACCTACAACTTTTACAGTATGAAATTCAAGCCTTAATATAACAGTTGGAGTGAATTCCATTTCTGTCAGTAAGAGATGGGCATTAGTCACTTCTAAGATTATTTACACCATTGCAAGAGCATTCCTGTAGTGCAAGAAATACAGAAGACAAAGAAGAAATGCAAGACATCCTTTTACTGATAAGCATTTAGCATGCCACGGATTTTGTGTGAGGTCCACGAAGTGAAAGGTATCTGCAGGAATTTTTACATTGCAATAATCATTGTTTTTTCTAGTCTAGCATGCAAAGCATCATCATTGTTCACAGCAGACTTAAAAGAGGATAAAACAATGGTTCTGCGCAGCAGGCTGTACTGAAAGAATCACATAGATGTATCATGGAGAAGTCCACAAGGAGAGAGTGGCTGAAGAAGCAGTACAGAAATAATCAACTTGAAAAGAAAAAGCAGCTTGAATTTGTTAGCAAAAAATATGGAGACATTATGTGAAATGATTCAAAGAGGGAGGGGAAAACAGATGGTGGGCAAGGAAAATGATTTAAAGAACAGCATTTTGTACGGAACAAAGAAAATTGAGATGATCCTATTTTGTACAAAGAGATCAGAGATACGAACTCAGCTGAGAATGATTTCTAGCCTACAGTGAAGAGCTACATATTGGAGATTTAGTCAGAAAAAAGAAAAGTTTCAAACTCAGAGGCTAGACTACTTGTTTTTCTCCCTTGCAACGGAAGTATTTCTGTCAGTAATGCTTGAGCGGTGAAGTTCACATAAAGAAGGCAGACCAGACTGAGCACTGCATTGACAGGAAGCGTTAGCTTCAATTAAAGGCAACTGTGATCTCACAACCTTATTTTAATTGCAGTTCAGCACTGCCAGTTACCAGTGTCTGCCTGCATGCAGACTACAGACCTTGCTCTCAAATAAAAATGTTGTCCAAATCAAAAAGAAACCGAAAAGTGAAACAAGAAGGCTTGTGAAATGTAGAGACTGACATGTCATGGCGTGACTCCCTACACTTCACAGACACAATAACGAGCCCCTGTGACTGTTTATTTTAATCATCAACTTTCGTTTCTACCACTGGTCAAATTTGTATTCTCTTCCTTCCTCTACAGTCCAGTTATTTAAAACTTCTACGGGAAAAGGGTAGGAAAGACTTGACTCCAGTAATTGCCTGAGTCCCTTTCCAGCTGCTACTGTAATTATTTTATATGTAATCAGGTTCTTCTTCCCCACTTTTTCTCACACCTCTGTTACCTCATGCCTGTCGTCAGATGTCAATACGAAATGGCAATACCAATGCATACTGCTTATCTAATACTGGGTATAACACGTTTGACATACGCAGTTTTCAGACACATTTAGAATACAGATTGCTATGAAGAAAAACAATTATTTTGTCTTTGTAGTGCCATAATTTGATCAAATTTAAGTCATTCATAACATCACAGGATTAGAAAGGAAAAGAGATAGTGGAAGTCAAATAGGAGTATCAACTGCAATGGGATAGCTTGCCTATCTAGTAAAATAAAGTGTCTCATGATTCACTCATGTGGGCTTGTGAGAATGACATGGATCTCCTCTGTTAAGTTTCCCTTAGAGAAGAAAAGAACCTCAATTCTTGTAACTTGCCAAGATCCATTGCATTTCTGCGATTTGATGCAATGGCATTGTTTGTCTGAAGAAGATTTTATTAGGATGGTATTACAGGGAAACAATAATTTCCTCCTTATTTTGCCCCCCATTTGAAAAGAGCTTCTAAGTTCTATTCAAGCTACAGAAAAAAAATTATTCCTTTATGTAAATCTCTTGGCCTTGACCTCACATTTCATGTTTTCATCTCAAATTGTTATTTTACCTTATGGGGAAAATGTTCATGACTTGTTTCTCTACTTACTGTTCTAGAATTTACTGGATATCTTTACTTAACATTAGTATAGTCATTATAATCATACAGACTCAGCTAGGACAAACATTAAAAGTGTCAAGTGTAGCAGTAAGCAGACTGTGGTTACTTTCATTGTTCTTAAAGTAAGAAAGGACAAGCAAGGGCCCACACCTGCCTAAAAAGATGGCAAAAGACACATGGTGTCAAGAGACAGGGAAGATATTTCAGAACTCAATAAAAATATTGAGACACTCTAAGATCCTTAGATTTACTGTAGCAATATTTCCCTCTGCAATTTAATATCTAGTTTTACTCTGAGAAGTGCAATATGTCCCAAGTTGCACAGCTTGCCCAGGTTTAGATGAATTGAATTCCTCCAGCACATTGTGGCTAATGTTTCTGACTGGCCAAGCTGCAGGTCTTCAGGGGCAACTAGCCAGTAGAAAACACCAAGTACAGAAATTTCAGTGCAATTTAGGCTGGCTGAATCTGGGACCTATTGTCTTCTTAACTTCCAAGATGAATGTGCTCAAATTGAAAGAGAAAGGATAATTACATTTTTCTGTTAAGTTCTGCCCTTCAAAATGAAAAACTGGTATGTTTTTGCTAGATCACAAAAAAGTTGAGACTATCTAAATTTCAACATCTCCTTGATTTGGCTTTGGGTCCACATTAGTAAGAACTGTATATACATATAGGCCCTCCTGCACTTAATGGAGGAGTAAAAATTCACTGCGGGGTACAGCTTCTTCTTGAGTGGGCTGGGTATTTCTATCTTCCAAATCCACCCACTCATGAGACCAAATAATTCAGCACTTGATCTTGATAATACGATCCTCCTTTTCCTTCCTCCTAGTCCCTGATCGGTAGCAAAACAGTTAATCATGTTAATGTAAGTAACCACTGAGAACATTCATCTCAGACCTGCAGCAACTCAGATGTCCTAACAGATGTCATGGCTTTAGTTCCATCCTGTTTGCAGTTCCAAAGTTTTCTTTGCAATTGTAAGAGCTAGATGCTACAGGAATACGTGAAAACTTTGAAACCATAAACGGCATGGAACCAAACGAAGACATCTGCTTGGTTTTCAGAGAATCTGAGATGACAGCTCTGAAATGTGAGCTGCTCCAGCTGATCTTACAAATAAGACGCTTTCTGCTAGCCACAGACTGTGATGCAGCTATAATTAGACCTCAGTTTCACACAGAGAATCCATTTTTCCTTGCATGGGTTTTTAGTCAGCTATAAATAATGAGAACTTAATTTACATTTCTGCTGTTAATGTCCAGGATTAGAAGCCAGTTGGATTGTTCCAATCTGTGCTGACTTCTCAGCTACAACTAGACTAAAACACAGCAAGAAAGATTTGTCATTAAAATAAATCCACAACTCCATACGCTTACCAGAAATGCATCTGGTATTAGAATACACTTATATATACATATATAAATAATATAGAATACACATATATATACATATATATCATATATGCATAAATGCATGCATACATACATACATATATAGAGAGTCTGATTTATACCAGACTGAGTGAATGAAATTCTTTTTTATGGCTATTATGATTCAAAACACCTGATCATCAAGTGGAAAGAAAATATATATAAAACAATTTATGCTGTCTCTTCTAAATTTGCAAAAAATGAGCATATCATTTCAAAATTGTGTATTTCATGTACAGATTTTGATTTGGGATGTTTATGCTCCACGAATCTGAAGCACAGATGTTCATTAGTGTTAATGACAAGTCTGTGATAAAATGACACACACATATAGAGACATCTTTCTGTCTTACAGCTACCTACCAGTTCTCTGGACAATCTTTGTTTCTGACAGTAAAAATATCAAAATTCTTAAAAACTGTGTGCAAAAATGTGAAGAACACCTTGTTTGACATAAGAACTGCATCATAAAGAACTAAATATTACGGAATTCAAGAATAAGGATGATAATAGGTTCCACTCACTGAAACATCCTCAAGTACTCACTCACAAGATCCGTGAACCTAAGACAGCAGGAAGCCATTTCCCTGTATATACAACCTGATACTCAACTGAGAAGTATACAGAGGGTATTGTCAGTCATCTGTCTCCTATGCACAGTTGGCTTGCAAATGAAATAAATGTGATCAAATGGGTAGCATTAATCAGCAGTGAGAACAAGAACGCACCTACTTTTTACAAACAAAAAATGCACATGGCACAGACAGTAAGAAATTCTCCTTAGCAAAAGTGCTGTTTTTTCTACTCCAGCTAATCAGTGCTAGTGCACCTGGATCCTGAATATTTATGACAGTGACATACATCTGTTAAATGTTCAGAAATAATTGGACTTTGCTGAAGCAAAGCTAATGAATTCCCCTGGAACTCTGTGGCAAAATAAACAGATGAAAGGTATTAATAAGAACTCTGGATTCCTTTAAAAAAAAAACCCAAACCCAAACAGAACTAAACAACAAAACCCACAAATGTTTCCTTCCAGCACTGATTAATACTTTGTATAGAAATGTGTAGTCCAAGATTTTCTGTCCTTACCACTGCAATTTCCCCATTTGCAACACTGCAAAATCCACACATTAACAAATCATGCAGTTTCATTTTACCTTTGCCTGCACCTACAGCAGGACGGAGAATACCAGCTTTAATGGAGGAAAACAAGAATAGGAACACTATATAATTAGATACAACACCAAAGGGAACATACATATATAATTTCATTATAAACCAGAAAAGCATGCAGACTAGATAAAATGTATTAATTCAAATGAATTAGAAACAATTCACTTACGCTGAACACTGACAGACTATTACGAGACAAAAATTAATACACATGCATTTACAAAATTTTATTGCTCATGCTTGTTAAAATTAATGATTTCAAATAAATGTAGTTCATATGCAACCTTAGTACACTACCAGAGAAACTGCATTGTGTACCAACTCATCTATGGCAATTCCAATAAACTATAATTTTCTAAGCATAAAAATATGTGAAAAGATGGTATTAAAAGAGACTTTTAATATTAAGATGTGCAAAATCATAAAAGGCTTTCCCCCAAATTTCCCCTTTGCTTTGAATTACTTTTACTTTATCAGGTTTTCATATTTAAATAAATAACATCTTCAACAAAAGAACTGCCAAAATCAGAGAACTAGAATGACTATGCATGTAAAACTCAATAGTGACAGGATTAAACAATATACTGAAAAGTATTTAAATATTATACAATGTCACCAATTACTTGGGCCCATAGATGACAAATTTATTTCTGCAACTTTTTTGAAGTTACTGGTTTTGCCAGCTCTGTGAAAAAAGTTTAGATCTCTCAGAAGCTGTTGCATACTTCAAAAGAGAAATAATTTCCTCTAGCCATAAAGCTGCATCATTTTAGTATTGTTCTCTGTGACCAGAGAAGGTCAATGAAGCAGAACAGGTGAATGGAGTAAACCCACTTAAAATGTAAAGTCACATGAAACTTTGAAGCCCAGAAAAGCCAAAGTCTTAGATCTTGTAAGTTTATATCAAAAGGAGGGGCTTTACACTTCCTTTGGGTCTTCCACTACCATAGAAAGACTTTGCACATCTTTTCTTCAAAACTATTTAAAATCTTTTATTAATGTATAATACAGTCAAGAAAGCTCTAGAGAAAATTTTACCAGGGGCTATTTCCTTACTGAAGAAAGCAGTAGTAATATTTATAACAAAATTTGTAGTGATTTTTAAACTCAGTGTTTTTTTCTTTATACATACCCATCTTACCTTCATCCATAATTGTTACTGCTTCCTCAGTTATCTGACTTCCTGATCCAACAGAAGTTTGTGCATTAAAGTAAAACTTGTACCGTGTGCTGTAATTTAAATTTTTTAATATCAAGCTGCTCTCGTTGGCAGGAATTCTTATCTCTACCAAGGGACCTAGTTCATGTGTGTTGTTAACTGTTGTTACAAGAAAAAAAGAAGAGTGAGTTAGGAAAACTGCCCACATTATCACTGTGTTAAAGCAGGCTTTTTTGTTTGTATTTATTTGTTTTGTCTGCTACGTTGTTCATTCCAGGTTATATGAATGATAATCTACAGTTTTGAAAAGAAAGTTAACTTTGTGTAAAAAGGATCTAGGCAAGGAGCCAAAATTCAACAGGAAGATAGGAAACACCTTCAAGTTTTTTAAGTTCAAGTTCCATTCTCGTAAGTATCTGAATCCAAGGCAACTGAGTCCACATAAAAACATCTGGGCTTACACACATTTGAAACACTGATCACTAAAAAATTCTGAAACTCTAAACTAGCTGCCTCATAACAAATTCAGTATGCTTCGGAAAAAAAATACCGAAGTGACTTGTATCTAATGCCAAGGAACAGGGGAAGTTGGTAAGTGGAAGAAAACAAACTTTCATGCGCATGAAACAAATTTCCAGTGTCACTGTTGACAAATTTCTGGGCAAGTAAGCAGTGGCATGGGGATCCTAAAGAAGTGATTTACAGTGCTGAGTAAATGGCACTTTTATGAATTTTCCATTTTAAAATTAAAATACCATGAAAATTGAAGAAGCAGTCAGCAATATAACTGGATGTATTTTGATCTACTTTTAATGATATTTTCTCTGCAGTTAGAACATACGATTTGCAAGTGGTAGTATCTCGCTTCTAACTTAGAGGTAGTATCTCGCTTCTAACTTGGCTGTCAGTTATATGTAGCACTTCACCTCCATTTATCTGTAAAGTACAGTTTGATAAAATGAAAGTAATGAAAAAATGCTAACCTTGTACTTAAGCAAGTGAAGTTTTCCAAATAATCTATATTGCCAATATAATCCTTTTCAAACTTGACATCTACAATGCAATCATGTCTTTTGTACATTATAAATTTAACATTTTTTTTAATAAATGGATTGCTATTTGCTAGACATACTGTCTAAGTGAGAGTTATATATTCATAATTAACTTACTTGGCTGAAACTTCAGTATATATGATGTCAAAACACCATTTGGATGGGTAGGTGAACCCCACTCCAGAGTCAGAGAATCCAGTGTTGGGTTAGTAATCTTCAAAAAGGAGGGTGAACTAGGAACTTTTAAGAAGAGTATACAGTAAATACAAAGTAGATTAACTTAAAACAGCCCATGAATTATTAATTCTTAAGAATATTACTGTATTGAGCCAGATTATTATTGTATCATCTCCAAGATGCAAATTCAGCAATTACACCCTTCGCGTTCTATTTCTGAACATACCACATTTAAGTTTATTCTCTAGCTTTCTCATTTCATACCTCCTTCAGGGGTCTTAAATACTTTGTCTGGGCTTGCTGGTCCTTCTCCTTTACCATTAACAACTCTAACATTCAGCTTGTAAGAACTGTAGGGCTCCAGCCCTGGCAACATTCCAAAAGTCTTGTTTCCCCTGAAAGTCAAGATCTTTTTTTCTACATGCCGTCTACTCCTTCTGGATAGACTCTGTACTTTCCAGTAGTAAACCTAAAGACAAAAGAAAATCTACAGTGAGTGTTTAGGTGTTCTGATTTTACAAACTCTAGGCTTTTCCATGAGTATCCATGAATTATAGGTAGGAATAATTGCAATTTTAATAAGCTCAGGTGAGACACAGCATAGAGTTTTCCTGCCCCAGAAATAGATCTTGTCCAGAAACAGTCATGTCTACATAACTGGGTGAAGACTATCACCTGCCAGTTCTGCTAATGCTCAAAGCCATTTTGACATAAGTTCTGGTTTGGAACCGCATTAGAATGTGATGGTTCTTGTGTTAGCAAGTCCATCGGAGAGGCAGGACTTGTTCACACCATCCATTCTTGCAGTAAGAGGTCTAGACAGCTTCCAAAGCAGACTTGCATTTTGCTACCTCATTATGTCACACAACTAACCACACTAGTCCCTGTGATGTGGAAGCCAAGTAAGTACTTTTAAATGGGAAAGAAACCAAAGGATGTGTCTGGAGTGGAAAACACATAAGTTCTGAAAGGACTCTGAGTCATGGAATTTCTCCACCTAGGGACAGGAAGGCTATTCTTCTATTTATGTGACAATTAGCTCATTCTGGTGTCCATTTTGGTGACTGAGTTTCTAAGAAACTACAGATGAGCCTCAGAGGTAATGACCTTGACTGCACTCTCTTTACTACATAGTCTCTCTACCACAATATCTGGAAAGATAGCCCTACAAAGACTTGTGTTACTCCTAGGATTGTCACCTTCAAATACATCATTGTTCATTTTTCACAAATTTTCATGTATGTATGATCAAACAGTAAAACTGATAAAGCAATGTAAATGGGTAAAATCCTGGTTCCATTTAGGCAACTGTGAAACACCTCTTTAATTAAGGAAGCTGGGATTTCACATACGAATTCAAAGAAAGGAACTGTTAAGACTTACAAAGCCCAACTAGATAGCTTATAAAGCAATGTTACACTAACACCAGCTTTCTAAGGCTAACAACATATCATTTCACTCTAATCACTGTTAAGTGCCACTGTGTTTTACATGGCTTGAGTTAATGTTTTTCAACACCACCAGCTGTCATCCTGTAGTCCTCATCCTACCAACTAGTGTAGAAAGACATTTACAAGCTAAGAAAAGCTTGAAGTGTTGGTATATTTCAGTAATACTAGTACTGAAACTCATCAGGTATAGTTCATGTTATTTTAAGAATTGTTAGCCAGTAATTTTTCACAAAACACAGTATAACTGGATCATCACTTGTCACTAACCAGGCTGAAATTAAAAGACAGCTTTAATAAGCTGTGTTTGATAAGCAGTTATTTGGAAGAGGAATATGACAGTAAAAGAGACTGCATCAGATTTTTCACATATTGTATTGAATAACCACTGAATTTGTAAGAATAACAGGAAAAAATGGCAGTAGTAACAGTGAAAAAAATTCTTTTTAAAATTTCTTCTGAGGTTTGCTTTATAGTACCATGGTATATTGATTAATAGCTAAATTAATACAAGAGTAAAATATGAGTGATGTGCTGTAGCCTGCTGCTAGTTAGATGTCTTCCTGCTTTTTTCATACATTTGTCTTCACGATATGACTCTTCAGAGAAATACTCCTGTCTTTATTATGAAACGTGTTCCTAACGCAATACTGCACATTGGGCTACCATCTGAAATAATTTTATTAATTAGGAAAGCCTAAGTTTGCTAGTAGGATTTTGCTGATATGTTTTAAAAGAGATAGTCATGTGCTTTGTAAGCTATGTCAGTAACTGAGACATTTCAAGCGTACTTGGCATCAATGAGAAGTTTTCAGCTTGAACTCAGAGAAACCTTTATAAAAATAACTATCCACTAGGTCTTATGACCTGTCATGCCTTGTCTAATTTTTAACCTATTTTAGCTTGATTTAGCTGTATCTGCAAAAATTAATTCAGGAACTTTTGCTGCATGTGCAACTTATTCAAGGATATACCACTGTCTCATTTGTCCTAGCCATAACAGAAAAACGACTCAGCGGTCAGGTCTGTTGTCAGTCCTGTAGTCTTGAACTTGTTTTATTTATGATTATTGACTAACTTATTTTAGCTTCAGTTTTGCTTAGCTTTATGTAATTGTGTGGTTCTCCTCCCCACAGAAAAAAACCATACTGTATACAGAGAAGGACTAACACGCTGAACAGAAATAATCATGGCATGACTAACCCTTTAGACCAACTGGAGAGGAACGTGTGCAACCTGTTAGCAAATACAGGACAGAAAATAACCCTCAGAGACTCCAAACCCAAGGAAGAAAAAATCTCCATCTAATCTTGGGATGATGACGTTTGTGGCTATGGAATTTTTTGTATTATTTTTGATCTTTAACAGAAATTTGGTGATTTGGATTATGAGCATTAGCATTGCTGCAACTGGGTTAATAATAAGCATTAACTTCACTAAATTCTAACTCTTTAATCCTCACATAATGGATGTTTTCTTTTGGTTGCCCATTTGCGTATGAAATACCAGGTTGATAATGAGACTCCCACCTAACAGATAAACCTTTAACAGACTAGTAAATCCTGTTTCTCATCTGAGTTTATTATCTAGGGCAAAGCACCACATTAACTGCAAATACTTATGCTAGCTGATACAGAACTAGCTTAAGTCTCTCTGGCCTGTGGTATTTTGTGCCAGGTAAGTGACATCCACATACCAGGAACTCTCATTGATGTTGTAACCAGCTGTAACTGGTTTCAGTGCTCTCGGATGCTAATTCTCCACTTTATAAGTACGATGTACATTTATTCTCCTCCAAATATTCTTTACTCTCTTGATTTTTTCAAATACCTATTTTTCTTCCTTTCATTTAAACAGAAGTAGTTTAAATTAGTCTGTTTTACAAAGTAACCTAGTTCAGGCTGTGTAACTATACTGTTTTATTAGAACATATTTATTAGTATACTTAGAGAAGCAAAGAAATAATTATTTTTTATTTTCTTCTGTTGTTGCATAGGAAGTCAATATATCCTCTCATTCCACTCTTCCCTCCACAACCAGTCTACCATGCTTCTGCAGTTTCCACTCTGGTGTAGTTTCCACTCCGGTTTCTTCTGATGGGCTTCTAGTGCAACCTCTGAAGCAACTTTTGCCATCATTTTCCCTGTCCTCCAGGGACACCAGTTCCCCCAGCTTCTAACCTTGAAGTCCTTCTGTCTCATTCTCTGTTCATTGCAGTTTTTTGTCTCCAACACAACCTTCTCAGTTATCATCAAAGCCAGCACATTATCTTACACTAAGCTTCCTTCAATCGTACGCTCCAAATCTTCTGCTATTTCCTATCTCCTTAAATTGAGCTTTTAAACTGAGCTTCTCCCTGGCCCCCCCAAAAGACACAGCACCCAGCACAAGCTAGCAAGTGGCCAGTTACTCAGAATTAAAGATGTGCTTAATCATAATATGGCAGAAGATGAGTAATCATAGCATCAGACCTAGAAGATACTCCTACAGAAACTATTTCTCCTCATCCTTTAAATATCCTTTTGGAATAAGATCTGTAAAACCATTATCATTTTATTAAATTTATATAATGTGCGCAAACTTAATTGCAAACATAACCATTTTTCTTCAAGGACAATGTCACAAGAGGCGAGTGCTACAAGGCTGAAACTTGCTGAACTTGAAATGAGTTGTATCAATGTTTTTGCTCGTCAGCTAAACTTGTGAGCTCACTGAAAAGCAAGAGTCCTCTTACATGTCAGTTACTTCAATCTGGATACAGTCTCACACAGGAAGAGTGATCTATTTTAATAAATGAAGAACTGAAAGCTTTTGACTGTACTTACTTTGTATCCTTGAAGGTGTCCTCGGACAGTTTTTAGTGGAACTGGATCCCAATGCACCTTTGCTAATGTGCTGTTAATAACGTGAACCTGCACGTTGCCTGGAGCAACCATTGGCACTGCGTGGAAAGAAGGCAACAAGTGCCTAGTTAGAATGAATATCCTTTTTCAGAATGAGTCTTTGCATTGCACTCAAGGAATAGGTTAAAATGTTCCTATTTTAAAAAGCTGGTCCCAGGATTAATACTAGAGTATTATGAAACCTTATTATCTCCAAATTACTTCATTTTAAGTAAAAAATCCCCCTGCTACCCCCCTTTTCCAATATTTTGATATTTTAAACATCCATTTAGGTTACACATTCAGTCACTTTTAGTACAGTTGAGTCAAACTACAAAACTTACAGTCTTCCCCTGAATGTCCAATCACCTCTGATGGCTCTGGTGCATATCCCAGGTCATTTAAAGCTTGTACTTTTATTTCATAGGGAACAAAAGTTGGTGTACCAGACACAATATATTTAGATACATTTGCAACTATAACAGATGTCCATTCATCATCAACATCCTTCTGACGCCAGCTGACTTTGTACTGAAGCCCTGGTCCATTAGACTGAAAACCTTTTAAAGACTGAAATGAAAAGAAGTATTTTTTTTCAAATATTCTGAAGCATCTGAAAAATCTAAAGTCACAAAGGAAATATACTGATTCTTCTTTAGAATTTTACTGAAAATTTCCCACTGTGTTCTGTAACAGAGAAGCACTGCTGAAAGCTCCAAGCTATGCAATTTCACTTTTACAGGAGGTCAGTTCAGCTGCTTTTCATTCATTAGTCAAATCACATTGAATGGTTCTCCTGGCTTATTCTCATGCAACCATACATCGTGATTTCCATATACACATTTTGTTTTCAAATATTTCTTAAGCAGCACAAGAGGAAAAAACAGACTTACACCAACTCCCTATAAACACTGTTCCCTAGACAATGCATCTTGTCTGGGATGGGAAATTGGTTTTACATGTCTCTCCTTGAGCTCCTGTCATGGTGGTAAGGGCATGACAGAGAAAAGATTTCCACAACAGTTTTTTAGTGGAAGAGTGCACAATAATTTGGTTTATCACAAAAGTTGAGGGTAGAATTAGGATTCACATTAGAATTCATTCTAAAAATAAGACTCTACTTGAGATAAACCACAATTTACATATTTAAGTTTTCCTAAATTGGCAGCAAAACATCCTGTATTATCAAATTAATGGCTTGTCTTGAGAAATCACTCAAGGAAAATATGGCATCTTAATTTATTTGGTTTTTTTCATAATGCATGCAGCTTTTCCTCAAAAATGAAGATGGGAAAATGTCTGGATTTTACTCTTTTACAAGCATGTTTTAAGCAAGCAACGCACTGGCTATTCTCATAGTGTGTTCACAGTTAGATCATTATTATTTCTCAAAAAAAATGCTACTCACAGACCTGAAAACACACAAATTAAACCTCCAAAACCAAACTTACCTCCCATGTTATTACCAAATTATCAGGTTCTGAGCCTATCCCTTGGACATTAGAAGGATTTTCATCGGGATCTAAAAATAAAATATTTACATGTGAACAAGAATGACTGCTGTTTGCATTCCAAGCAAATTCAATGCCATTCATAGTACAAATCAATCATTGGTAAGTGGGAATAGTTATTTACTTGCAGATTTTGTCAGGTACTGCTCAGATGGTTCACTTGGCTGACTTCTGCCAATCTCATTGACAGCTATCACACGGAATGAGTAGTTGACGTACGGAGACAACTTCAACTGTACTGTTGTCTGAGTTCCAGGAACTTCCGTCTGGTAATGCCATACCCCTGATTCATGCAGCCCATCTTCATATTCAATCACAAAGTCTGTAAACAGAAATTGAATCCAACTTCATGTCAAAACTTGCAACACTTTCCTAGATCAGTATAGGCATTTCTGAATGAGCTAATCACAAAGGAGGGATTCAATCAACATTTTTAAAAATCATGAAAATTGAAAAATAAGTACATAAACCAGAATACGGATCTATAATGTGGATCTTAAAAGTATTGCCTAGGAGAAGTATACTAGAAACACTCTAACTTTAATTATTTGGTATTCTCACTAATGCAGCTATCTGTCGGTAACATGTTATTACAAGAGCTCTCTCTCAGGTACTGGATTTTAATGTAACAGGAACCCTTGAACTATCACAGCAAGAAAGTGGGACAAGATTGGAATTTTGATGTAAATGTAATATTTGGCTGACAAATATGTTGGTCTTAGTTGTATCAAGCTGACAGTAAGTAGTACCTGTACATTATTAAAAACTCTCTGAGTATTCCAATTTCCCCAGTGAGATTGGCTTAGTGAAGAACGATTTAAAGTTAACAACCAATACTCAAGGAATGTTTTCGAGAACACTTTTCAGTATCTTCACATTAAGTCAAGGAATGTAAGTTCAGAAGCTAAATTTCTTGAGAGTTCTCTGTGTGAACATTATGATGATTACTGTTAAGACCCTACAGAGTATATAACCTCAGGGATAAATAGGTTTGTAGAACTCCAAAAAGAAAATCATATTCATTATCAAAGATAAAAGGACTTTTTCAGCTGTGAAACAGCAAAAAAAGCTTCCTGCTCTTAGGTATGAGATATAAATTTTGAAACACTTAAGAGGAATTGTTAGGATACAGTAAATAAATGGGAGAAGAATGTGTAGTTTGAGTATACTCCATGGAATATTAAGTTTAGCTATACAAAATTTACATGAGCATCAAATGTTTGTGTGTTGCGTAACAACAATTTTTCCCTATCTCATGTATAGGTGGGGACAAGAAGCCAGAATATGGCTCAGGATATATCCTGTTCAGACTACTAAAGAAATTCTGAGGGGCATGTAGAAAATGCTTTTAGAAGAATGCTTACAGTACCACACAGAAACAATCCACGAGACTTTGAGCAGCCAAGATGTTCAAGAAGTAAAATAGCTAAGTAGTACTAATCATAGCCTTCTGGACCTCAGGCTTGCAGATTTCATCCTGACCTGAGTAGTAAGAAAGAGGGAGAACTGGCCCCAAATTACGGGCTGAGTTATAGCTGGTGTTGTGTGCTCAGAGATAAAGGTCTTGGGATGGAATATTTTCCAGATCAAAGTCTTTGTTTAAAAGGTGAGAATATTACATGCTAAAAGAAAAAAAAGAACAAACCTGAACACCAACAAAGTTTTCACTATTGCATTTTGCTTCCCTAGTAACTAGCATTCTGCCTGCAACTCTAGTAGAACAATTTATAGGAGACTTCAAGGAAAAAAATTCTATTTGAGCTTTCAGAATGATTCTAGCATATCAATCATATTACTTGTGTAAAGGGATCACTCATAATGAAATCCTATCTTTGAGTCTTGATCTGCACTTTGAAGTGATAGCAGCAGCAGTAGTAATAGGCTTACTCATGAAGCAAATGCCTTATGTTGCAGGCTCTCAGGGGACCACACAGCAATATAAATTGTATCATAATTAAACCCAGCATTATTTAGTTAGAAAAGTTCCATTTCCAATATTAGAATGCATGCGATATCTCACTTCTAGAAAAGCTCCACTACGAGCCAACCTAGTATCATTTATTTTGAAACAGTGTGATTTCATTCCTATAGAAAGGCAAGACTTGTGTCTTCTGGTCTGGAAAAAATGAAAATGCTGACACAAGAGTATATGAATAAGCCATAACTTAAATTCAACCATTTACATTAAACTTCTATATATTACATTTTTAAAAGTATATTACTAGTTGATATATATTAGACAAGTCTGAAATTCAGTGTAAAACTTCAGAAAAATCCTTTGGTGTTTTATTAAAATGCAATCAAAATCTTTGATGTCTTTTGAAATTTCTGAAATTCTGTTTTTACAAAACTTCTATTCCAGATGCCTGATGCTTCCAGTTTGTGTTTAGTGTTCATACTGACCAGCATCAGACCGTAGAGAGCAACACTCAATAAGTCAGCCTAACTCATTTATTCCAAATATAATGTGTACACTGGTCTTGGTAACTTGTGGCAGTTATTAACTAAAAATACACTGCATAAATAATTCAATAAGTTGCTTATAGTGAAAAAGTTGCCCCAACAAATCTTTGTGATCCTATTATTTTTTGGAAAACAAACAGTAACATGAGTCTTCCTGCCTCCTAATTTCCCCCTCCATCATCTCTGTTGAATATAAGCAAGAGTATCTTTCATTATGTTCTACTGGGGGGAGTAATAGCATTTAAGATCCATTTCCAGTCTCAAAAGTTTATAGATGTTTGTTTTCTCTGTCTTATGGACATGCTTTACTCCTTCAACTGTCTGGACTAGAACAAACCAGAAAAACTATCCATCTGCCTGATATTTTCACAAAGAATAAGCTTCTGTATCAGTAGTGATGGATAATCCCTAAAGATATTGGTACTGATGCTATTTCAAATTCATGGCGATTGCAAAACAGTTAATGCAAGATGTAATTAGCTCTCTCCTTCAAAAGCATACAACAAATGAACAAGTCAACTCTTTACATATTCATAAGACTGGACTTGTAGGTTAACTAGCACAGGTTTGGGGATCAAAAGCCCAGCTTTTTTTAGGGCAGGATATTTACTTGCTTGGTTGTACAGTAGAGGACACGCAGTTAATTTTTGTTATGTAAATAAATGGCAACTGTAGCAAATGAATTTATCATTCTTCCATGCTGCGCACAAAATTTATCTCAGAACGCTTTGGAATCTGAGAACAGTTAACATAATGCTGTTCACATAATGCAAAAGATACAAACAAACATACTTGTAATGGGGCTGTTATTTTCATCTCCTGGTATCCATGAGAGTTCAACGCTTCTTTCTAGCTGACCTGTCAATTCCAAGTCAAAGGGTGGATTTGGCCGAGCTGTAAATCAAATGATCACAAAGTAAATAATCACACCAGAATATGTAGTTTCATTTTTGAAAAAATCCTTACATTCCAATCAAAAGAATTCCACAAATACAGAAGGGCAGATCTACTCACTTACGTAAGCATGACTTAATGACCATTAGCATGCAACTGTTACAAAACAGAGACAAAATGGAGAACTGATGTATCTGGAAACTTCTACACATTAACAAGAATCTGTATTTGATTTTATCTACGTTTCATTGCACTGTGATGTAAAAATGAAATGAGATGCAAAGAATTAGGAAATGCATGTTTAGTTTATCTTTGAATCATTATGGGTGGTTATCTATTGTAACTAGAAATATTTAATAAAACAAGGAAAATAAAGAAGCGTTCACATCAAAGAAGCTTTTCTAGAACCACTACAAATACTTTGCATGTGAATTCAAACCAGGTTTCAAATAGAAACTAATTGCAAGTTACCAAGTCATTTATTTGTTGCTGTACTTTTAAAAAATCCTGAAATACCATCCAAGCTGTTTATATACATCCTTATAATGCATAAAGATGTAATTGTCCATTGCAAATTGCTGAAGATAATTATATGCTTTCTAACACAAAAATCAAGACTAATAAGTAGGTTCATTTAAGAATACATAAGCATTTTCACTGAATGTGATAGGATTTACATAAAAGTGCTTAAGATTCTCATACCTAAAAGTGTTTTAGGCATATTCTATTGCATTTTAAAACCCAAATTCAGAAAAAATGCTACCAAATTAAAGGCTGTATACTGTCAAATTTAACACTGTACCTGACTGACGGATTTTTTGGGGAATTTCAGCTTTAATTGCTAATCCCTATTAGCATTTTCATCCATCATAAACTAAGTAGGTCAATATGGTCCTATCCATTTTATGAGTGAAGTAAAAGGAAGACAAACTATGAAATAAAGTACACCAGGCCTACCAAGCTGTCATCAAAAGCAATGTAAAAACATACCATAATTTGGTTGGTGCAAGTTCTTTGATAGTGAATTAGCTTTCAACGAACAGTTGGATTTACTTTTCATTTATTATATAACTAATTTGCATTACAATGTTGTCTATGAGAAAAACATTAGCACACTATAACCAATGTTAATTAAAAAGAATTTATCTCCAATAATCATTTATTCCCTAAAATAAAAAGCAGCCTGCACTGTAAAATTCCAAAGTCCAGTACTCCAGTAATGAAGCAGTTGGCAAAATGGGATGAAACCATACACACACACACACACAAACACAGGAAAAAGGGAAAAAAGAAAAGATGTTGCACTTTGCAATGAGAAATATATCTGGCAGATGACGTAGAAAGAGAACATTGGATTAGTTTACCGTAAATGATAGCTGGAGTTGGGGGAGCAGCTGAAAAGAACATTAATATAAGGATTTAATCAGTTAGTAGCCGAAGAAACAGAATATTGTAGGTAGTTAAAGACTATAATTATTAGAGACAAAGAAAAGCTAACTTATTTAAATGGTTGATTTTAAATAATATGTTGATAATTTTTCACTGAAAAGCTATAAAAGTATTCTTGAATATTTTATCCATTTTTTTAATAAGGATAGATCAAGAAAATAAATAAAGTCAGTAATCTTATAAAAACTTTTAAACAAGTACTAGACATTTGTTGTATGTCATTCCTGGATAGGCATAAGATCACAACACCATTTAAAAATACAAGCATACTTGACTTTGAATCTCAGCTTGAAATGAGGTAAGAATCATTCAGGATGTCTACTTATAAATTTCTTACAAATTGGGAGAAGGGGCAAAGTAACATAACAATCTGCAATCACAGAAACTTAACAGAGAGAATTAACTTAAAAAGAAAATCCTTGAAAAGTCATACAACCAAGCATGCTCAGTCTTTCTGAAGCATAATTTAGCTGCGAAAGAGATTCCTGAGATAACATGTTTATGTTCTAATACTCTGCAATATGTAACCTACTGTGTTAGCTCAGATGTGATCCAAATAAAAACCTACACAGCATGAAACTGTATGTGTCCTGTAGCTACTGGACCCTTTTATAAGCAGCTGATTCAAAGGCAAATTTTAAGATAAGACTGTATTTTTTAAAAGCTGAAACAGATTTACAAATAGGTGACATTTTCTTTGTCCTGTCCTAGAAATCAAAATTATGTTTGTGCTCTGCATTATAAATCTAATGCTGTTTTCATACTTAACAGTAATTAAACACAGTTCTGCTATCATAAAGTTTGAGAGTATTCTTACCAACAACAGTAAGCACAGCACTTGCTGAAACACTGTCCAGAGTAGTATTAACTATGCAAGTGTATGTTCCATCATCTTTATCAGTTACATTCATAATGGTCAAGTTGTCTTTACCAACTAGAAACCTGTAAATACAATAGATTCAGCCACTGATTTTTCAATAACTGGTACTGTTATAAGAAACTTGCATAAGACATTACCAAATCCCATATACTTGTGTATTTCAGCAAATACCTAGAGAGCAATGTAAGCTATGGGACTATATCAGCCTCTTCTACATTGCTCTTGACTATCTTCCCACAGTGCCTATCCTAATGTGCTTTTATTTCCAAATACACTAAACCGACTTTTAATTATCTGTGATCTAGAGCAAAATAGTCTTTCATTATCCCTTTGGCTTCTTATGCCAATTATCTTCTCCTTACAATTGATATACATGGTCAATGTGCACAATTAAAAATTTTTACGTCTCATTTCATTTTGAATTCTATCTTAATATTTTGAAAACACTAGGTAAGTCCTTGAGTCACCAAATATGGGATAGTGATGATATTTATCAGTCATCTTTGGAAAATCTCAATAGGTCAATATGTTCCTTTCGAAGATCAGGAAAAGGAGCAGACAAAAGACACTAGAAAATTAAAAATAATAAGGGAAAATTATTTTGTCCATACCTTTCATCATCTGGCAGTTCATCATTGTCTTTTAACCATATAACTGTTGGTAATAAGGTAGAATCATGTTTTATTATACACTCAAATGAAACTTGGCCATATCTCTGAATCACTTTGTATTCTGGCTGTTTAATTATCATCGTTGGATCTGAAATTTAAAACGACTATTAGATATTTAGAAAGTCTGAAATTCTATACTAACCTGTTACGAAAGAGCGATTCATTTCTTACCTTTAACTTCCAATTGCACCTCATTTTGTATCTTTCCTAATTCATTCCTTGCTACACATGTGTATGTACCGGTACTATCCTTCTGAGCCACTGGAATTTCCAAGGTTCCATTATCATGGAAAACGTATTCACTTCCACGCAAGATGCTACCTTTCACTCCCTTAAACCTTTATATAAAAAGTAAGATCATTATCTAATGTCATAGTTTAATTCTATTGTATTTTATTATCAGAAAATGCAAGCTTGGGACTGCCACATTAGAAAATACAGGCAGAATCACATAATGAAATTTAAAGTTTACTCTGTAGGGATAACTTAACTGTTGTTACATTAAGTATATGTAATACTGTATTAGTGTATTGTAATCAGCATATATTTAAAAATACACTATTTTAAAAATGCAAATAGAGTAAAAATAGTTTAAAAGCTTTAAATGTTTGTTTCCATAGATATAATTGGCTCTTTTTACATAACTTAAGCACAACGACTGTAGCTTACCATTCAATTTCAGGCTTAGGTGAACCAAAATAAGCACAGTCTAGCAATGCAGGACTATCTGCAATGACTTGATACAGTTTATTAGCAGGAGTTAGAATTCTTGGTGGCTCAGCTGAAAAGACAAAGATATCTGGATATAGATATGAAGATGCAAATACAAAATACTAAGACATCAAGAATGGCCTAAAGAGTTATATGTTAACAACCTTCTCTGAAGTGATTTCTGGTCTCAAGTCTAGGTCCAAATATGTTCTACTGCCAGTAGCCTGAGGAAACGCTAATGTAGGAGAATTATCTTGTAAGAAACAAATGCTTCTTCCCTGTTTACAAATCAAAGGGATGGGCACTAAAGGCAATGACTTCATTTGGAAAATTTAAATCAGAGTATATTTCAAGAAGAGAAACTCCTGGGAACAGACTGAACCACATAATTCCGAACAAACCTGCAGGCAGAAAGATTCTAAGATGTATTTTTGGTGAAACACCTACATCTTTTAAAGGAACCATGGAACCAAAGGGAGTTCTTTTATTTAAAAGTCAGTTTCTCTCAATCAAAAGATCTGCCAGTTCCTGCAGGAGAGTCTTTAGAGGCCATTCTGCCCAGGATTTTACTACTAGCTTTGTTAAATTCAGCGAGAAGAATTAGAGAGGCCACAATATTTTGTAACTAGAAACACATTCTTGGGAGGCCTTGAAGACAAATGCATACTAAATGTGTCCCCTTGAAATAGCAATTTAGATCCAAAACACCCACAATCAATGGAAGTGTACTAAAACATATTAACTTAAGGAATATTAATTCCTCCCTTATTTATTATGCTTCTGTTTGCTTGATTTACATAAACAAACAAACAAAAAAGAAATAAAATTTCTTCCAAGTTTTCCCCAGCTTTCACAATTATCTATCTATCTTAGTTAGGAATAGTGAAAGTGAAATTCAGGAATATCCTACAAAAACAAGGTACGTATACCCTTGCCTTTTGGAAGGCTCAGGAAATACATCCATTGTCACTGAAGACCTCAAGCAAGGCTTAAGTGCAATTGGTGTAGTAGCAGGAGACAACTAACTGAATATGCAAGAAAACTGAAAAATACAAAATCTGTTTCTTACCCAGAACATTCACAAATGCGTTTGCTAGCAAGTATCCATATTCATTAGAAGCATTGCACTGATAGACAGCACTTGACCTTTCTTGCACATGTGAGAAAATAATGGTATCACCATCTACCTTTCTGCTAGGATCTTCTGGGGCAACTGTTGGTGTAAAGAAAAAAAATAATAGTTTTTCGTAAACGGCTGTTGGATGATATGTTTCACACTTCTGAAAAGAAGAAACAATTTGAAAGACCAATCTACCCCTTATTCTATTTTCCTGGGTTTACTGGTTAAGATGTGAATTTCAATATGATTAAGGAAGTTCTTCCAATTCTACAAATATTTAACTGACAATGGTAGAGTTCCCATTTTTGAGGGTTTTTTCTTGTTGTTTGTTTTTCAAAGAAGTGAAGCTGAGATCATATTTTGCATGCATTATAGAAAAAAAATACTGATATGACAAGATTCAGACCTAGAAAAAATAAGGAAATATTTCTGAATGTCAAAAGAAAATTATGTTAGAACGACATTGGAACTTTACAATTCTCTGTGACTTAAAGGTTTCAACTTTTCCAATCAGCTGATATACCATAAATAATTATCCAAATATAAACATAGCTTTAATCAGTTGAAAACTATCTCAGAGTAAAATATAAGTAATTCTTCCACACAAAATCTTCACGAGAGCAGTAATATAAATCAGTA